TACTCGCTCACTCTCACTCTCTCCTCTCATTATCTCCCTATCTCCTCTCCTTCTCTCCCTCTCTCCTTTTCTTCTCTCCCTCTTTCCCTCTCTCCTTCTCTCCCTCTCTCCGCTCCTTCCCTCCCTCTCTCCTCTCCCTCTTTCCCTCTCTCCTATCCTTCTCTCCCTCTTTCATCTTATCTTCCTCTTTCCTTCTCTCCCTCTCTCCTCTCCCTCTTTCCTTTTCTTCCACTCACTCCCTCACCTCCAACATAAACCCAGGAAAAATAACTCTTGAAATCCAACCCCCAAAAATACTGAAGAATAGCAATAAAAACAATATACAAAACCTATCAAAAGAAAAACAATGACAGAAATAAATAAAAACAATATACAAAACCTATAATGACAACAAACAAGAAAACAGTTCCAGCAACAAAAACAGCAACCCCCTCCCCCAAAAGAAAAAAGAAAGAAAGAAAAGAAAACAAAGAAAGCAGCAACACGAGCCACCACTCACCATCTTCTTCGGTCGAACAGAAAACGGGATCGCTCGCAGGTCCATCCCCAACTCTAGTAAACGCGACGACCTGCAGAGAGTAGTTCGTGTGGGGTCGCAAGCCTCGCAAAGCCACGCTCACGGAATTGGTCGTTTCTCCGCTCAGTTCGCTCGCTGAGGGAACGATGAGGGAATGGAATTAGCTGGAGTAATGTTATATTAGTTCACTTGTTTTATTTTTTATTAACTGGATTGGCGATAGTGATGTTTCTGTTAGTTTTGTTGTTGTTATCATTTTAGTTTTGTATTTTGCTTTAGTTATTATTGTTTTTGTTATTGTTTTTGTTAGTATTAGGAGTAGTAGTAATAGTAGTAGTAATAGCAATAGTAGTATCAGTGCTAGTAGTAGTAGAATTAGTAATAGTAGGGATAGTAAGAGCAGGAGTAGAACTAGTAGTAGTAATTATTTATCATGTTTTGGATATTATTTAGTAGTGACATTGCTCATAGGGTTATTACTATCATCAATGCTATTATTTGTATCATTAATGCTACCATCGATATTGTTATTATCATTAACTATATTGCCAATAGTATTATGATTGATATTACCACCACCATTATTATCTTCCTAACTGTAATTATAATCAAAATCATCGTTATTAGCACCACTGAAGTTACAAATATCATTACTACAATCATTAATCAAATTGTTATAATTCTGTCTGTATTATATGCCTCTGTCACCCCTCCCACTCGGCCCCACACACTTTTTTTCTTTTTTATCATCATCATCGCCATCCTCTTTTCCTTCTTCTTCCTCTCTTCCTCCTCCTTAATGGGTAGCACCACATTGACAAAATAGTTTACACAATAGTCAACTCTGTCCGTAAGCAAACAGCACGGCATAAATTAAAGGATCCTCACTTCTCTCCGCGGGGGCGTAGAGGACACGGTAGCCCAATAGTTCTCCACGGGCGAGGGCGGGGGCGAGTGGATCCCATGACACTAGGACGCTGTGGGCGGTCATGGGCGCGCATCGGAGAGCAGTAGGGGCGGCGGAGGGCACTGGTGGGAGAAAAGGGGGTCTTCGTTATTTTGGGTAAATACACCTGGAGAAGTGTATAATACGGGTTATTTTTTTTTTTTTCTATAGTGACTGTACAAGATAGTAAGTTTATAATTAAAATTCAATTTTGAGTAAAGAAACATACACAGACATTCACTTACACACACTCACACACATACACACACACGTACACACATTCACATACAAATCCACCCACCCACACACACAGAGAAGCACAAACACACACAAACCATATATACAAACCCCTCTTAAAAAGACATACAAAAACACTCTCACAAAAACGAACAACAATAACAGAAAATAATCAATATAAGATGAAAAAAGAGAGAGAAATTACTCACCATCCTCTAGCGTCGAGCTCGTGACTGTGATCGAGGCCGGGCCAGCGCCCTGGGCATTGACAGCTTGCACCTCCACCACGTACTGAGTGTGGGGCATCAGGTCCGAGATCAGGGCCGAGCAGCACGTACCCAGGGCAGAAGAGGACGTGGGGGACGACGAGGACGAAGAGGAGGAAGAGGAGGAAGAAGATGAAGAGGAGGACGAGGAAGAGATGGAAGGCGAGGAGGCCCAGGTGTCGACTTCCACCGTGACGACTTTGTACTGATCGCTCGACACTCTGGAGAGAGGGAAGGGACGGGAAATGGCTTTGTTATTATCATTATCATAATCGTTATCAACATCACGATTATGGTTGCCATCATCTCCATTGTTATCATTACTGTAAAAGCTTTTTCTGTTGCATATATATTTATTATTGTTGTACTCCTTACCTTATTGTCATTATTTTGATTATCATCTTTGATATTATCATTACTATGATTATTATTATCATTATTTTCGTCATCATCATCATCATCATCATTACCATTATCATTGTAATCTTTATTCTATTGTTTTCTTATTGATATCATAACCAACATTATTATCATCATCATTTACCATCTCGGAAAACCAAAGCCACGAACCGTATGAATTCTATTAGGCTGAAAATATTACATTATTTTTCCTTCGACACACACGTATGAACAAAAGACCCGTTAGTATTCACTTAACTTTAAGAAAACATTGAGGTTGAATAGATTTTCTTTTTCCCTCTTTTAATTATGCATAAAGGCATTCAGAGAGCCAACAATAAGAACAGAACAATTGCGGTGTACGAGTGTATGCGATTCATTGTTGAATTCGAATAGGAATATTAATCAAATGAAGTGTTTTGAAAAAGTGTAGTGTAGGAAGTGTTAGATTTTTTTTTGTGTGTGATCTGGATTATTATTATTCTTTTTCTGTTTCTCTTTACTTCTCTCTCTTTCTATCTCCCCTTTTCCCCGTTCTTTCTCTACCACTGGCCTCTGTGTGTGTCTGTATGTTTGTTTTCTCTCTCCTCTCTCTCTCTCTCTCTCTCTCTCTCTCTCTCTCTCTCTCTCTCTCTCTCTCTCTGTCTCTCTCTCTCTCTCTCATCTCTCTCTCTCTTCTCTACTCTTCTCTCTTAATTACCTTTATACCCCCATACAGCTCCCTACCTCCTTTCCCTCCCTCCCTCCCTTTCCGGCACCCTCTCTTCCCCCCTCCCTCTTCCACCACCGACCCCCAGGGCTCCCATATACATTCCCCTCCCCACTCTCCCTCCCCTCCTTCCTCATTCCTCACCTTCTCCCACCCAATCATAACCCTACCATCCACCCCTCACCATCCTCCCTACCCTCCCACAACCCATTACCGCCTCAGATCACCTCACCTCACCCGTCCCACCCGTCTCACTCTCTCCCCCACCCTCCCTCCCTCCCTCTCCCTCCCCCACATCATTCCCCTTCCTCCCCCTTCCTCCCTACCATCCGGTATTCGCCTGCATCCCTTCCCTCACCCCCCTTCAAACAATCCCCTTTCTTCCCCCTCTCTTTCACCCACATCCACCGCCCCCCCACCACCCCTTCCACCACCGAACCCTATTCCATCCCTTCTTCACTCTCTCTCATCTCTGCTCTCCTCATTCCCACCCACCCAACCTCACAGCCAACCAACCCTCCCTCTCCTCACCCACGCTCCACCGGCTCCTCTATCGACACCCACACCACTCTCCGCCACTCCTCTTACCGCAACCCATCTTCCCACCCCCACCTCACCTCCCTCACCCATTCACACCCCCTCCCACATTGTGGGCCGCGGAGGGGTGAGCCTCCTTACTCTCCTACCCACCCCCCTATCGCCTCCCTCGCCATCTCCCACCCCTACTCCACCTGTCCGCGTCTGCGCTCCACGCAATCTCCACTCTCCACCCTTCCCACCCGGCCATCCTCGTGCGCTGCGAGCGCGCATGCTCCCACCCCCACCGGTCCCATCCTTCCCTCTCCTCCCCAGTCCTCCACCCACACCTCCCCCCGACCCTCCGTCAGTCCTACACTTCCCATGCTCCCACCCCCCCGGCTCCACCCCTTCACCTCTCATCACCTCATAACTCGCGAGCTCCATTCTCTCCCACCACTTCCCGCTGCGGTGCACCGGATCTCCCAGCCCCTTGTGGTCCACCTCCCACCCTCCCTTCTCCTCAACCCCAGCTCCACCCCTTCCTCTCGCTCACCCATAACTTCCAGCCTGCCCCAGGCCTGTCTTCCACCGCCCTTCCCTCTCCACCCCACCTTCCCCCCGCACCTTCCCTCTCCACCCCCACCTCTCCACTGGCATCTCTCCCTCTCGCTCACCCACCTTCTCTCCAGCCCCCACCTTACCACCCTTTCCCTCTCCTCACACCATCTTCCAGCCCCACAACCCCACCCCCTTCCTCTCTCAACTTTCCATGCTCCAGCTCCCATCCTTTCCCTCTCCACCCTTCCCACTCCTCCACCATCTCCCACCTCCCACTGGTCTTCTTACACCACTCTTCCCATTATCCTTCCCTCTCCTCACCCTTTCGCCATTCCTTGCTTCCGACTTCGCCCACCTCCCACTCGGCCTTCCCTCTCCTTATTCCCATTCTCCCAGCCCCCTACCTGCCCACCCCTGTGCGCGCGTTCCTCGACTGCTCCAATCTCGCCAACCCCTTACCTCCCCACCGCTGTCCCTCCTCTCATAGCCATCTGCCCACCTTCTCCCTACTCTCACTTATCCTTCCTCTCCTCACTGCGCATCTCCCTACAGCTCCCACCTTCCACCCTTTCCCTCCTCACCCATCTCCCAGTTCCCCACCTCCACGCTCTACTTCCTCTCATTCTACTTCATCTCCCACACCTTTTCCCTCTCCTACCCATCTCCCAGCCCCACTCCACCCCTTCCTCTCCTCACCCATCTCCCACCCCCACTCCCACCCTTCCCTCTCCTCACATCTCCACCCCACCTCCACCCCTTCCCTCTCCTCACCCATCTCTCGACATCTCCCACCTCTCCTCACCCATCTCCCTTTCCCCTTCCGCTCTCCTCACCCATCTCCCAGCCCCACCTCCCACCCCTCCCTCTCCTCACCTATCTCCCACTCTCCCACCTCCCTTTCCTTCCTCTTCACCCCACCTCCCACCCTTCCCTCTCCTCACCCATCTCCCACCCCCACCTCCATCTCCTACCTCTCCCCTCCTCCCCCTCACCCATCCTCCCAGCCACCCACTCCCACCCCTTCCTCGACCCCATCACCCATCTCCCACACCACCTCACCCTCTCCTCTCATCCATTCCCTCTCAACCCATCTCCCACCCAGCACCTCCCTTGACCCCTTCCTCTCATCTCACCCTCCTCCACCCCACCTCTCCCCTTTGTTCTTCCACCCTTCTCACCCACACCACCCTTCCCCTCTCCTCAATTCCTACCACTCCCACGCCTTCCTCTCCTCCCACCCTTCCCTCTCCTCACCCATCTCCCACCCCCACCTCCCACCCCTTCCCTCTCCTCACCCATTCTCTCCTCCCCCCTCCCACCCACCCCTTCCCCTTCCCTCTCCTCACCCATCTCCCAGCCCCACCTCCCACCCCTTCCCTCTCCTCACCCATCCTCCCACCCCCTCCCACCCCTTCCCTCTCCTCACCCATCTCCCACCCCCACCTCCCACCCCTTCCCTCTCCTCACCATCTCCCACCCCCACCTCCCACGCCTTCCCTCTCCTCACCCAGCTTGCCCGTAGCCGACGTAGTAGGCGAGGACCCTCCCGTGCTGGCTGGCCGGGTCCGGGGGGAGCCACGACACCTTCAGGCTGCTGGAGGAAGCGGCGGAGACCTCGACGTCCCTCGGCGGCGCCCCGGGGGCCTCTCCCTCCGTCGTGACCTGGAGGGCCTGCGGGGGAAGGTTGTTTGTTTTATTTTTGTTTGTTTGTTCGTTTTTTGGACTGGTTGTTTATTTAGATATTTATCTATTTATTTATTTATCTATTTTTTTCTAATTATTACTCATCTCATTGGCAATGAATGGAAACCTCCCCTTTTCAATAACAAAAGGAAACCTTGCCTTATTAGCAAAAAAAAAAATAATAATAAAAATAAATAAAATAATAATAATGATAAATAAATAGATAAATGAATAAAACGAAAACCTTCTCATTAGGAATAAAGGAAAACATCACCTCATCATTTAAAGAGGAAACCTCACTTCATTAGTAGGAAAAGAAAACCGCCTTATCATCAACAAATAGAAATCTCACCTTATTAGCAATAATAACAAAATCAATAACAAAAGAATCCTCATCACTGATAGCAAATGGAAACCTTACCTCCTTCATCACAAAAGAACCCCTTATCCCCCTCATTAACAGCAAAAAGAGAACCTCACCTCACCATGTGGAAACCTCGCCTTATTCATAACAATAGAACCCTCTCCCTGATCATTAATAACAAATGGAAACCTCACCGTATTATTAATAAAGAACCCGCCTCCCAATCATTAATAGCAAATGGAAACCTCACCTTATTAATTATAAAAGAACCCTCCCAATCATTAATAACAAATGGAAACCTCATATTAACATCACGTGGAAACTTCACTTCACTTCATTACCAACAAAGTGAAACCTCACCTCACCAAATGGAAACCTCACCTCATAAATAACAAATAGAACCTCACTTCACAACCAACCAAAGTGAAACCTCATTCAATCAAAAGTGAAAAACCTCATCAACAACAAAAGTGAACCTCATCAACAACAAAGTGAACCCTCATCACAACAAACATAAAGTGAAACCTCATCAACAACAAAGTGAAACCTCATCAACAACAAAGTGAATTAACCTATCAAAATCACTAACAAAGCTCGCATTCAACATACCGAAGGATTTCAGAAAGGCCACCATAGCCGATCAATGAAGCCAGTAGAGAGTGATAGAGAATAATCAATGCGTTCGCGGGCGTGGATTATATTAACACCCGCAAAGGCAATTTACCAGAAGTCTCCCTACCTTGCAACACATTAGGAACCCTCACCAGCTCGCCGAATGGTTTCTCCATAAAAGTTGACCTTGCTGCTT